GCAGCTATTGAGTAGGGGGAGACGGAAATCAGGGAAGCATCACCCTCAAGCATGCCCTCAGTGGAATAACCAGCGAGGCTGAGGAAGACGAGGGCTCCAAGGGCCTAATGGACAGACCAACACAGAGGTAGGAGCTGTTTTGAAAGACTGATTGAGCTGGAAGCCACATTCAACAAAAATGTCCTTATCCTCTACACCTTGCTGGATTCTGCTAGTAGCCCATGTCCAGCTCAATATTCTGGCAGCAGATGCCCTAATATCTGCACACACAACATAAATAGGCTTTTATCCACTGAGTGAAGTCAGACCCTCACAGCTGAGAAGCATTCACACCACACCAGCGAGCTGCACCCCCCTTCAGGGGAGTCCTCGCTCTAGCAGGGCACAGCTGAGATGATGGGAACCTCAGCAGCAGCGATGTGCCCCCGAGATGCATGGCTGATAAGAAGAGAAAGGAAGTGATTGAAAGGAGAGGCAGCAAGCAGAAAGATCACTGACAAAGCGCCTGAGTAGGAGTTTCCACACTGAAATCTGCTTCCTGTGACCAACAAAGGGACTGTTCCTCAGGAGGCAGAGGAGTCGGAAGAACGCTGGCTTTGTTCGCTGAGTCTCCCGGCTTCAATCACATTTCTCCCACTTGTGTCCTCTCTAATGACGGTCAAAGGATGCATGATCCCTTCGACCCACGGCCCAGGCCTTATCATCTTCCTACTTTAAAACTTCTCAGGGCTGCAAGCTCCTAGGACAAAGCTACACCCTTTGTCTTTGCTCCTGCTGCCCCTTCCGTCCCATGCTGCTCCCCTCCCTGACCCAGCCTGCCTGTGCTCTAACTCAAATGTCCATCGAGGCTTCTCACGTGCACCTGGCATATTTCTAGTGGATGCCATGATGGATGGAGCCTATGCATAGCATGACAGGGACCCCACCAGACCATGCCTTTCCCGACTCCCCCTGCCCTGCCTAGGGAATCCCTGATACAATGGAAAGAGAGGAGGAAGAGACAAGGGAAAGACTCCAGGGCTCTGCCACCTTCTCTGCAAAATGGGGCAAGTACCTCTTTGCTAAGATCAGCATGCAATAAGATGATAAATGTAAAGTTAGGTACAGAGGGCAGAGGAGGCGTGTAGAGGCACAGAAGTGGTAAAATCAGAAGGAATAGAGAAGGAAAGATAAATTGGAGGGGTCAGTAGAGGTAGAAGAGGAAAGACAAATTCTTAATGAGCATCTATCATGTATCAGGCACTGTGCTAGGCCCCAGGAATACTCCACACTACAAAGCTCACAAGCCTCAGGGCAAAGCACAAGCTTTCTTAGCCTACAGTTTGGATCTAGGCACCATCCTCCCTGGCCTTGTGTGGCTGGCAAATGCTGATGGGCCCTGTAAGCTGGTACAGCAAGCTAGGCTACCTCAAGGGAGTTGTGGAAACCACAGAGGCAGAAGCAGACTGCTCTCCGGTGCACCCTCAAGCCTCCTTCTGTCCACTGAAAGATGGGCAATCTCACCCTTGCTGCCTCAAGAATGGAGAAGGTGCCCACCTCTGCCTGGGGGAGGCTCACGGGGCTCCAGGCAGCCGGAGCCCTCCCGCAGGAGGCCCCTGCCTGTGGCTGCACCTCTGAAGCAGAGGGTGGGAACAGAGGAGAGTTGAGGTTGGAGGCCCTCAGCCCAGAGCCACAGGGTGTCAGCAAAGAGGAAGCCAGCCACTGAGTCCGAAATAGAGAAAGAGGAAGCAGGTGAAGCAGCCCAGCTCTCCGGCTTCCCCCACAGCCCTGCAGTGTGCTGGGGATGAATCAGCTTCTTGCCTCTGTTGCTGCTTTCTCTCCTGGTGGTGGCAGCAGGGCTGGGGTGAGTAACTGTGGGTTCCCCAGTGTGGTCTCGGTCAAGGTCACTGGATGCTTGCTCACTTGCTTCCACCCTCCTGTCTCTCTGTGATGAGTTCCTCCTGGTCTCACATTCACCCAGCCCCGCCTTGACATCCCTCCTGACTCTGGCTTCCCTCATGTGACAACAGGATCAGGCCCAACCCCCTCCCAGCAGCCAAGGTGGGCCCCCCTCTCCCCACCAACCCTCAACCAGCACACAGGGTGCTGCCCACAACCGTGTCTTGCAAAATGATTCACTTTGTCTCTGAGCGGATTGATGCAATTGTGGGTGAGGAGTCATTTCTGCAGATGGGGAAACCAACCGCAGCGAGCTGGCGAGGATAGGAGTGGGCCCACCCTGAGACAGGCACTGCCAAGAGCCCTCAGGCCTCCCAGAGACGCCAGCCACCCAGGGGCCAGAGAGGAGTGCCCAGCTGTCCACCTGCAGGGATGCAGCCAGCAGAGGGTGGAGGGAGGCGGGGCTCTTAGCAAGACACCCAAAGAAGTGCCTGCGCGGTACAATGACACCTACTTTTCCAAGCCCATATCCATTCCAATATGGATGCTGATGTTTCTCCCTGCACAATGTGGACAGGGACGGGGTGTTCTTGGAGGAGCCAGGTAACCACAGTGGCTTTCCCTGGGGGCAAGGTTAATGCCCGGAACAAATACTGGAGCTGCCTTTCTGCTCACTGCACTGCATCTGAAGCAGCCACGGCTGTACAAGGATGGGTTTCCAAGGCTGAGCAGGTGCCTAGGAAACACAGCAAACTGCATGGAAGATTCCAGGGTCCTGGGTCAACTGGACCCCTGGTATCTGGAGCCCGATCTATTCCCCATTTGAAATATGCCATGTAGTCCCAAACCATGTAGTCCCGCCATGAAATATGCCATGTAGTCCCAAACCATGTAGTCCCTTTTCTGGGTGACTCCCTCCCTCCTATGAATTCTGGCTCACTTGGGCTTGGGCTTAGGTTTCGCAAGGGACTGTGTGGTGCTTCATGACAACTCTGCTACTGTGCTGTCTTCCTGTCTTTCCATCCTCTATCTCCATTCCCACTGGCTGCTGCCCTGGACAATGCTGGGGCAACCTAGAGAAGTCATCCCTGACCAATGGGCACTTCTCAATGCAGTGGATCTTGGCCCATCCCTGCAGTGGAAGCATGCCTCTAGAGAAAAAACTAAGGCTCTGGAGGTCACATAACCCAAAGGGCACACAATGTAGAGGCAGGCTTGGAACTGGGATCCCAACTCTCTTCTAACTCCCAAATTCCTGCCAGACCCCAGCCACCTAATCCAACTTCCTTTGTGGGGCCTCCTAGTGAAGGGCCAGAGAGGCAGAGCCCTTCTGGTGGGACCAAGCAAGACATAAGTACACAAGAAGACCACTGCCCTACCACATCAGCAGGTCACAGACCCACAGTTCCAGGATCCACATGACAAGATGTGCCTGGGTTCTCCCCTCATAGTTCCTCCTATTCCTAGAGTGGAGCACATAAAAGACAGAGCCATCAATATGCAAGCCTGACCCCTGGTGACCATAACCTTGAACAGCATGGCCGACCAAGCAGATCAAGAAAACTGACACCCAGCTTTGGTCCCCAGTACTGGTAGAGCTTAGAGATTGGAACACGCCCTCCAGTCAGGTGAGTCTGGAGCCCCAGACCACAGGGACTTACAAGCCAAAGCCCTCCCATGGCCAGCTCACATTGTACGTTCCTGTTTCATGAGAGCCACAGCCCCCTAGAGCCAGATGGCATAAGAGCTCTGGGCCGAAAGTACCTCCCAAGCTCAGTGATAGAATCAATGACAAATACAGCATTCAAATATCATCCTTTCCAATTTTCCTCAACCCCCACCTTCCATGTCACTTTTATAGGGCAGGAAAGAAATGGGGGAACCTGCTTTCTAGGATACCCCACTTAAAAGAAATGGGTTGATTCTAAATAAAATATTTCATAAATATATTTAAAATAAATACATTCATTCAAAAACAATCCATTTAAGACAAATAAGCTTAGTTGAGAGAAAATACTTGAAAGATGGCTTTCCATCTTCCCCTAGTAGCTCAGAGCACCAGAGAGCTGGCCTGAAAAACTACAGGTTTATATCTGGATGTCCCTCAAAAGCCTCATGCAATCATAGGAGAGGGTTGTGGAAGGTGATTGGATTGTAGGAGTTCATAGCGGGCTTGCTATTAGGAGGTGGGATCTGATTGGAAAAGGCAGTCCTTGGGGGTGTGGCCTACAAGGTTTTTTTCTCCCACCTGGTCCTCTCATCTCTCTCTGTTTCCTGTCTGCCATGCTGTGAGCAACTTTCTTCTGTCCTGGCCCCCCTGCCATGCTCATTCTGCCTTGGAGATGGCCAAGTATGGACATAAACCTCTACAGACCAAACTGTGAACCAAAATAAACCTCTCCTCCTTTAAATTGCAGGTATCAAATATTTTGTCACAGCAATGAGACACTGGGTCTAGAAGCAATGGACTAAACTAGGGCTGCCACATTTAGCAAATAACAAGGTAGTGTGCCCAGTTGCATTTGGAATTCAGATCAACAATGCAGCCACCATTCAGGACACAGTTACGCTAAGAAAGTGTTTGCCATGTATCCAAAATGCAGCTGTGTTTTATCTGACAGTCCTGAAGTAGACACCAGTAGGGGCCAGGAGTGACAGGCTGCTGGTTTAGGGGCTCCAGGAGGAGACGGAAGGCATTTTGAGGGGACAGGGATGAGAATGAGAGAAGTGGAGAGGATGCAGGAAATCCAGGCAGGGAGATAAGAGCCACCGAAGGCTGTGAGCAGCGGAGTGGCCTTGGCGCCATGTGCCTATTCTTAAGGGATTATTGTGACAAACACATAGAGAATATGCTGGATCGGGGAGGAAGCCCTGCTGGCCAGGAAGCAACAGCAGAGATGCCTGTGTACCAGGGAAATGGCGGCTTGCAGGGGGCTTAGCAGCAGAAGTGAGAGAAAGTGGTGGCTGCTGCCTGAGGGCGGGCTGGCTGGAGCCACCTCTCAATCTCACTTCCTCTCACCTTCCTGGCTCTGCCCCACCCCCACAGATCCATGCCCTTGTCCACCTCCCCACACCCAGCCCTGACTTCCCCCCTTTTCTCCCTCCCCCTGTATCTTCTTTACCTTCTGACTAGGTCATCCACAGAAGAGGAAGGAAAGTTGCTTTGTTGTTTATCGTTACCTCCAGTGTCCTCCAGGCACCCACTCACTGCCATTGTCCAGCTTTCCAGAGAAGCTTCCTCCCTTGACCCTCAAGACTGAGTGTCACAACGGGAAGCAGCCCTCAGTGTCCACACCTCCTACGCAGATGGGCTCAGAACCAGCTCAGCCCACTCGGTTGCCAGCCCCGCTCACCAGAAACACTTCCGGTATCCAGTCCTGTCCCTGGAAATGTTTGCGGTATCCGGCCCCCGTCCCCTGCAGCATCTCAAACTGGTTTCCCCAGAACCAGATCTCAGTAGGAGGTGAGAAAGCTGGTCCTCCTGTTCCCTCTGTGGCCCTCAAACTTGGCTGAGGCTGAGGTGGGGGTGAGCAGTGGGAGCCAGGATGGGTCCCAGAGTCCATCCTGCTCCAGCTGGACAACTTCTGCTTGGACACGCTTTGTAAATGGAGATCTTCACCTCTTCATCTTCTCTTAGTGATTCACCTGTGAAAATATTCCCCTCCATGCATTTGCATCAGGCCTCAGGTGGATCTGGGCGGTGCTGCTCTCTCCTCTAACAGACTCCACATCCCCCGGCGCCTGCTCCCACAGCCTCTGAGCCCTCTTGCCGCCTCCCTGGTTTTACATCCTGGGACAGACAGGGGCTCTCTGGAAGGTGTCTACCTGAGCCTTCCAGCAGCTCCCTGCCACGACCCTGGGGCGCCCATCAGATGCCCCATTCTATGGATGAGGTCATGGAGGCCTGGAAGCTGCCAACCTGGACCAGATCCTCCAAGTCCAACTCTGGGTGCTGACTCAGATGGGCTTCCCGCTGCACCCCCTCCCCTGGATGCCCACTGGAATGTGAGTCTGGGCACCGGAGTCCACATCTGCACAGTCCTCCTCCTGAGAGTCAGGAGTTTGTCACAGAGCTGGGATCTCCCCCACTCCTGCTCTGGTCAGCATGACCAAGGCTACCCTGCAGGGAGTGAGCAAGGTTTCCAGCACCCAGAGGCCTGCCCTGTCACATGGCAAGACAGAGACATCTGCTGGAGTGCGGCGATCACTGTTCTCTGCCACCCACAGACACACGCTGGAAGCCAATCCTGCCCACAGCAACCTACAGAGCACACGTGCATATCCCACGTCCTCTCCGGGTCCCCAGGACCATCCAGCCCAGTGGCTGTCACCCTTCACTGAGCTCATCCAGCACCCACAGAGGCTGCTGCCTGGGGTGAGGCCTGGGCATTTCAGGGTTGAAAAAAAGCCTGGGTGGCCAAGGCTTGAGAACCCCCACTGGATCCAACCCCACCGGAGGGAAAAGCATCGTTGCCTGGAACCCTGCTGCACCCCTCGCTGCAAGCAGCTCTCTCTCCCAGCCCATCCACCCTGCTCTTTCTCCTTTGGAGCCAGGTATACTGGACTGAAACACGAGCCAAAACCTCACTTTAAGTTACAGGTGTACAAAGAAAATGACTAAGGCACTGGCGTCTCAGAAAGAACAGCAGAATAGTCATGCAGTGGGCCAAGAGCTTTGCTTTTCCAGAGCAATCAGAGAAAGCGGTTTCTAGTCCATGTGCCAGGACTGTCAGGGCTGAGGAGGCAGCATGTGAAGGAGGTGATCAGTAGCGCTGGGGTAAGGGGGGAATGAGGGATGAGGGGGCCCTGGTGCACTCTAGAGGGCGTCTCTTTGTGTAATATGTGGCCAGGGCACTCGTGTCACTCTGTCATCACAGTTCTGCTTCTCACGCTTCCTGGAAGGGCGGGGCAGGGAGAGTCATCTGATTCTAGGGCCTGGGAAACCTGGCTTCACAGAGCACGAAAGTCAGGGCTGTGGGACAGACAATGTCCAGCCCCGATTCTACAACGAGTCGGAACCCAGCACGGAGCCCTCCGCATGCAGGCGGCAGCCTCCCCCAGCAGCTCAGCCTGGCGTCTGCATAGACACGTCCTCACATCGTCACACTGGCCTCCCACTGCTCCTGCCCTCTGGCCACTGAAGCAACCACTGACCCCAGGCCCATCAGCCCCTCCTAGCACATCCCGCCTGGTCAGCCCAGCCTGTAATTGTGCTAACTGGCCCCTGGGGAAGCCGGGGAGTCTGCTCTCTGTCCACATGAGTCAGGTTTCCAGAGCAGAAACCTCAGACACAGCCACATCGCAAGGCCTGGCCTCTTCACCACTCCCCACAAACCACTTCCTGCCAGGTCCTGGCATCGCCAGCCTGAGGCTTGTGGCAGCTGCCAAGCCTGGGTCCACCGGCCCATGCCTGCCCATAGACTGGGCATCAAAGGTGCTGCCTGCCCAGGTGGAGGAGCCAAGGTGAAGTCGAGGAAGAGCCAGGCTTGGGTATTCATCAGTCCTTGGTCACTGCCTGTGATTTGATTGTCCTCTGGTCCTCCACATCTGGCCACAATGCAGACACTGGGCTGTCAGCCCCTCTCCCCACCCTATCCACCCTGGTTGAGGCTGGGCTGTGCCTTTCCCTGTGCAAGAGGCTGGGGGAGACCAGACAGGGCACTGACTCAGGAGTCAGAGACCTTGGATTTGAATCCCAGCTTCCTCACTGCCTTGCTGTGGTCTGGATTAAATGATTGCAGAGCAGAGGTGGGGACATCACAAGCCGCAGCCTCCTGAGCTGCAAACTGGCAAACACGACAACCTCACCCCCTCCAGGTGTGTGGGGCAGAGAGACTGGGCCAGTGCATACCAAAAGCACACACAGAATCTGGCACACAGTAGATGGTAAATAAATACAAGCCTCCTTTCCCACAGAGTGATGACCATGACTCTGGGGAGGGTGACAGGGTGCACTATGTCAGAAGAGCCTCAGAGTGGTAGTCAAGAGACTCTGGAGGTGACCCCAACACCACCCCCAACTCGCTGTGTGGCCCTCGGCAGCTGGACCACACCTTTGGTCCTCTGCGTCTTCATGCTTACATGACAGGTGGGAAGCAGATGGTCTCAAAGTCTCCCCAGCCAGGATGCCCCAGGACGGGGCTTGGAAGTAGGGGAAATGGTGAACAGGACATGGCTTCGAGGAGCATCAGGGCTTCGGTCCCTCCCAGCCACTCTCCAGGTTCTGGTCCTCCCTCCCAATCAAAGAACGGGTACCAAGAGCTCCTCTGAAAACCAAGGCTCATGTCTGCCTTCTGGGAGTTTCTGCTGGCAAAGTGCAGGCCAGTACTGACAAACAGTAGGATCTGCACGTGGCAGCCCTCATCTGCCACTTACCAAGCCGAGCTGGTGCCCACAGTTAAACCCATTGTGAACATTATCTCATTTAATCCTCTGACAGCCCAGGGTGAGGCCATCAGCATGCAGAACCTGTTTCCACAGGAGCAGATGAAAGGCAGAGAGGGTGCGGCTGCTGGCTCCAGGCTGGACAGGGTCCCCAGGAGCCAGGGGGTGGAGAAGAGCACCCTTGTTTTCCATGGGGGAGCAGAGGTGGGGACATCGGAATCAGGTGATGATGACAGGGCTGGCTGTCATTCATGATTCATGGAGCCCTGGGTAGTGTCTAAGCCTTCAGAGGAGAGGCTCATTAATCCTCCTTTTACCCTGGGGGGCAGGAGGTGCCAGGTCTTGTTTTACTGTGGTGGCTCAGATCAGGAGTGCAGGGGAGAGGAGAGCAGAGAGGGAAGCGCTTGGAGCCGGCCATGCCCGGGGTGGCCAAAGCGGGGTCATAGGTGCTGGGAATAGAAGCAGATGGGGCCCATTTCATGATCCTGCAAAACTCACAACCCTTGGAAGAAAGGACCTGGGTCTGAGCATTGCGGAGGACTTGGTGTGACACCCTAGGGGTCCCCCTCCTAGTCAAGCCCTGGGAGGTGACCTGTTAATCACCCGGTGACTGCTGTGCTCAGATCCAGCAGTAGCAGACAGCAGGCCCTAATCCCCTCGAATCCAGGAAGCTGGAAGAAGTGAGGAAGATGGGCCTGGAATCTGTGGCCTCCGGGGTCATCAGGAAGCCACCTTCTGTTTTTTCCCCCAAACTGATAGGGCAGAATCCTGGTGGGATTCATTTTTTGAAGCTACAGAATGAACAAGGTCAGAGAGAAGGTTAGGTGTTTGTTTCCCTGGATTCAAGGCAGCTGGCAAAGAAGGGCTGGAGGAGATGCAGAAACTCCGGGTTGGGAAACAGCAAATGAGGGGAGATTTATTGCACCATCTCGCTGGGGAGAGGAATGCTGAGCATTAAGTGTAGGCTTAGGGGAGATTACGTTCCCTGTTTGCCAGGCTGGAGGGAGTAGGCTGCAGGGAATGCAGGGGAGCACTGTGTTTTGGGGGCACGGGGAGGCAGGCTTGAGTGGAGAGGAGCAGGCCCCCCAGAAGGTGCCAGTTCCACTGTGCACCTCTCTGCTAGCTAGGACCACCACACCGTGGCCATCTGCGTGACTCACTATGCCACACAGGCCCCTGGTCATGAGCCCTCCTGTTCTCATGCAATTTACTTTTACCTGCCCACCTGGGCGCACCTCCAGGAGGGCTCTGAGAGGGTCCCCGGGCCTAGGGTGGTGGCCTGGCTGCTGCAGGCCAGGCTGGAAGTGAGTCAGACTGCAGCCTTCGAAGGCAAAGGTACAAAGGGGCTGCCCCCAAGCTGTCACCACAGCAGCGGGCAGGGCCAGTGCCCCAGCTGTAAGGAGGGCAGAGTAGAGGGTGGAACAGTGCGGGCCCAGCCAAACCTCAAATGGCAGGCTGCCCCCACTGCCCTGGCCCCACAGTGAGGAAACGGGCCAGAGGAAGCTGGGCCAAGCTCCAGCTGAAGCCAAGCCACCCACCATGTGGTGAGGACAGCAAAGGTTTAAAAAGACTCCTGGCTGGGGGCAGGGCATCAAGAGGAGGAGTGTCTAGTTCTCTCTTGGGATGACAAAAAGCCTTTGACTTACATAGCAATGCCAGCCAGCTGGTAGCAGCTGTAGAAAGAACAACAGTTCTACGATCGATTAGCAATGTCTGCTCTGCATACAGACTTAGAAGCAGCGCACTGCAGCTTGTTAACCACTGCTCTCACCTCCCAGCGTGGCATTGAAGACCCACCCCGCTGGGCCCAGATTTGGCTCCCACTCCCTTGCCATTCTTCTCTTCTCCCATCCACACCACAGTGTTTAACATTCTTAGATCATAGACAACAAAATTCTGTTAACACGTTTCTTTCTGTTACCTCTGGGGTTTTCTGTGCTGGTAAGCTTTTGTATTTTTCTTTGCAGTTTTGGGGACTAAACTCGGGGCCTTTGCCCAAGTTACTTTCCCAGGCCCTTTTTATATTTTTTATTTTTAAAACAAGGTCTTTTAAAGTCACTAAGTTGCCCAGGCTGGCCTGCAGCTTGTGATCCTCCTGCCTCAGCCTCGAGTGCTGGGATTACAGGTGTGCGCCACCATGCTCCACTCTAGTGACATCTTTATCCTTCTAAATTCTTTTCTACCTTGACTTGATGGAGCTCATTCCTTTCCCCTCTGCATGGTATAATCAACAGAGCTACCGGGGAGTGAATCCAGGCTCAGCCCAGCAGCAAATTAATTACAGAATGAGCTCTTCCATAACTCCCCAGCACACTCTGCCTTGTGCTCTATCACTATCCCCACTTGACAGTGATGGATCTGAGGCTGAATGATGCTGGGCACCTGTCCCACATCTCCCAGCTGGGCTGTGCTGGCCCAGAGCTCCAAACCCAGCTTGTCTGACTGCAGACCCCAGATTGTACTTGTTAGTCCATAATCCGGCCCTGTCTTCTTTCCCCAGAGCGTGCTGAGTTGTGATTTGTCATCCACATGTCTGTGTCCCTGCTGAGATGCCAGGGTCTTTATCTCATGGCCTCAGCACCCAGCCCGGGGCCTGGCATGTGGCAGGCACTTGATTAACACTGGCTGCACTCCGCTGGCCCCTGTGCAAAGAGCTCTCTGAGCCTGTCCCTGCGTCACGTGCCATCCTGGCCTCCCTCAGGCCTGCATGTCTCAGTTGGGCTGGGGGAACTGCCTGGGCCTGGTGGGCAGTGTCAGTGGGTTACGTCCCTGGGTGACGTAACCTTGTTATAGTTGTGTGGGTGATTTATCGTCCCACGGAGCAGAACATGCATCTTCCCTCCTCCCCCTTCCGCTCCCCTCCCCTCGTCTCCTATCCTTTTTCTTCCTTCCCTTCTCTTCTCTTCTCCTGTGCGACTGCTGCTTATGTAGTGAGTGCTCTATGAATCAGGCGCACCTGTCCCGGGGAGCACGTGCCCCCCTCCAGCCCTGTTAGTTAGAGGAGCAGAGACCCTGTGGCCCGCGGGTAGATATGGGTACCAGGTGAGCATGAGGGTCAGGGACTCAGGAGTCACTAATATTCTAGTGTTGACCCAGCCTGCCTGGGCAGGCCGAGGGCTGGACCTGAATGAGGGTAGGAGATGGGAATAGGATGGATCGGGAGCAGAGCTGCCAGTTGGAACTGAGTGACCTCAGAGCCCGTGGCTCACAGTGGGGTCCATGGTGGCCCTGGCTTCTACTTGCACCCCAGCCCGGGCCTGCCCCTTCTGCACTGTCCATCCCCAACCCAGTCAGGCTGTGGAGCACAGTGGTGGGGGGCGGGGACGAGGAGGCTGAAGACTGCAGACAGCAACTCTTCTCCCCGGGGAAGGGGCAGGGCTGGGCTCTGGGTTCCACCCTGTGAGGCCCCTCCCGGCTCCCGGGGTTCACTGCAGCAACCGCCTCCCCGGAGCCCACATCAAAGATTCATCAAAGCTGAGGTCTAGCAAAGCATGCACTTCACATCTCTAAATGTGCTTCTTCCCAATGAAAAATTCAGGAGAAAACGCACTGAGCTAAAGGAGAAAAGAAAAAAAGAAGCAGGCTCGGGGAGGAAGCAGGGAGGAGGGAAGGAGGGAACAGAGAGCTGTCCCTGAGTCTCGGCTTCACTGAGTCCACTGCTGTCCTGGGCATCAGCCACAGAAGTGGGACCCGCCTTCAGCGCACAGGCTGGGCACTGCACCAGTCATGGGGAACATTCCTCGAGGTGGCTCTGGAGAGGATGGCATGAGAGCCTGGAGGCCTGAGTCCTTCTGAGGCTCCTCAGTCATCTGACATTCTTGATTTGGGGTTTCAGTCCACGTCCTTCCCATCTCCCGGTGTCTGGAGGAACCTGTGCATTTTGCAAACTGTTGTGATACAGACAAAGAAAGCAGAGACTTCATCCTACAGAAAACCCTGCACAATGGTTGGAGGGGTGGAGGAGGCCTCAGGGAACACAGGGACAGGGCTCTGGAAAGAGGTGACGGTTGGTCCGCACTGCCCAGGATGAGGAAGAGTTCCACAGGCAGCCCAGGGGCGGCCCCAGCCCCCACCACACCCTATAAGCTGCGTGCAAGCCTTGCACACCAGCGTCTCAGATGGAGCCTGAAGATTAGTGTCCACGTGCTGGTCAGACCGGAAGCCAAGGGCAGAAAGCAGAGGAGGAATTGCCAGTCCCCAAGCAAGGGTTAGCCTTAGGGCTGCTGTGACAGGGCTGTCCATGGAGGGAGGGGCACTGCTTTCTCTGCTGAGCTCCAGGGGTAACAGAGCCATGACTCTTGAGCACAGAAGACTTTCATACCCTAGCTGAGCCTCAGTTTGCTCCTGCCTGTGAAGTGGGTAGTACAGGAGGTGTGGTCCCAACAGAGGGCCGGTGTGTGAAGTCTTAAAAAATGATTACACTAAACGACGCAAAGCTATTAACTCCCCCTCTGCATCCTCCCCGTCCTTCATACACACTGATCCCGTCATTCTTGCCATTTTCTGGAGGAGTTCTGGAAATCCTCTTTCCTGAGGGCCTTTAGTTGTGCTACTTGGTGGCTGCCTCAGTGTCCTGGACTGATTCTAAACATTTCCCTTTCATGGTCACTTTTGACTTTGGAGAAGAGCCTGAGGTCTCAGAGTCAGTGAACTTCCAGGACTCCTTCAAGTGGAAGGGTGGCAGCATAAGTGCATTTGAATCGAGACAGGTTATGGAAATGTGTATTTTACTGTAATAAGTTTTTGGGTTTTTCCTTTTCTTTTGAGACAGGCTCTCGCTATAACATTCAGGCTGGCCTTGAACTCACTATGTAGCCCAGGGTGGCCTAGAACTCATGGTGATTTTCCTACATCTGCCTCCTGAGAGCTGGAATTATAAGTATGTGTTACCACGCCACACCTGTAATAATTTTTTAAATTTTATTTTAATATTTAGCATATTTTGAGATCATATTTTATGCCACTCTTTGTGAAGACCTATCATGTTTTTAAGGCATCCTACCCAGGCTCTTGATGGTTTTAAAGGTTCAGTTTATGCAGAATTTGCTGGTAGGGCACAGCTGGTGGTTTGCATGCACCAGGTGGATGGTCCAAGGTGAATCTTTGAATGTGTGGTGGAGCCACCAGAAACCACAACACTCAGGGTTTGGGTCCACGGCGCCCTCTTCTTGCCAGACCAAGCCACTGCCAACACCAGCACAGCCCTGAGACTTGTGCCCTCATAGCTCAGGAGTGGTGTGAGGACAGCACTATGAAACCTTCCTGGACAAGCAGCAGGTGGACCTCTGTGGAGCTGCACAAAGACAAAGCAGCTCAAGTGCAGTGCTTCGCAGGCTTCTGCACATGGACAGTACTCCAAATTCAAAGCGATTCAGTCTCTCCTAAATTGTATTAGAAAATGAAGAGATACACTAAACTTAAAACGATGGAGGTACAGGATAAAGAGAAAGAGAATCCATTTTCCATCAGCTATGTGGCTGGGGATGAAGTGGAGAACTTTGACACTGTAGCTCCCAGAACCACCTCTGCTTCTTTCTCTGCCAGTCGAGGTTGACATGGGCAAGTCCAGCTGGAATGGGGGCTGCAGAGCCTCGTGGCTCACTCCCCGGCAGCTGCATCCCACCAGCCCCGTGCTGTGAGGAACCTGCACCTATCCCAACCCCTGCTCTGAAGCTGTGCTAGTCATTAGCAGCAGGGAGCCCACGTCCCCAAGGATTCCTGAGCTCCCATGCAACACAAACACGCTCACAGGACCAACCCATCACACCACATCTTACTGCCTCAGCCTCCCCCGCTCCACCCCTGAACACAAGCCAGCATCTCCATCTCCCGGCTCAGCTCTCGCAAGCTGGTATTTCACCACGATTCCACTGAAGGCTTAGAAGTGATAGATGCACGTGGAGATTAATTTACCACTGCTACAGAGGTTTCTAGCCTTAATACTCACTGCCCCAAACCTGACCCCAAAACAATCTGCCTGGCTCCTGGCAGGACTCCATGTGCAAGGCAGAAATAGCTCTTGAAAAGTAGACTACTGGGAAGAAAAAGAATAATGAAATAGTGCCAGGCGTGGTGCACACCTGTAATCCCAACACTCAGGAGGCTGAGACAGGAAGGATCACTTCAAGCTTGAGCCCAGCCTGGCTACAGAGTGAGTTCAAGGCCAGCTTGATCTACATAGTGAGAACTTGCCTTAAAAAAATTAAAACAAAAAAAAAAATGAAAGAGAAAAAGAAAGAAGTGGAATATCATTGTACATACAGTTAATAAGCATTACACTTAATTTTACATGAATTCATCAGAAGAAACTGAAATGAAACTGAAAGAAATTTTGAACATTTAATTTTTTTAATCTTCTGTTTTAGTGCTGGGGATTAAAACCCAGGCTGCACACCTGCTAGGCAAACACTCTACCACCACGTATATCAGCAGCCCACATGGGTTTTTTCAGTTTGAAACATGTTTAAGCCAGGCGTGGTGGTGCATGCCTGTAATCCCAGCACTCTGGAAGGCTGAGCCAGGAGGGTGGCAAATTTGAGCCCATCTTGGGCAACTGAGCAACTGGGGAAAGCCTGTCTCAACAATAAATAAGTACGTAAATAAACGGAGGCTATCACTCAGTGTGAAGGCAGTTTCCAGCAAACACACACACACACACACACAGAGTTTGAAATGATTCCTGTAAGGCTAAAGAGAGAATGACAAACAATACAAACTGCATTCACTATTCTATTAACTACACGTTTGTACTATAAACAGTATCCATCAATCCTTCACTCTATATGAACACATTTGTGGGTTCATACCAGCTGCTCTATTTCTAGTTTTAACATTACTATGTTAACCAGGTTCTCGGCATTTAGTAGTTGATAACCATGGCTCCCTTGGGTGTTTCAAATTCTACTTTGAAATGAGTTCTATGGTCACCACTGGCCCTTCTGAATTCTTCCCTGAAATCTCTGTTCTGATTCAAAGTACATTTGCAGGGTTTCCTTTTAGGCAGCACCCCTGTCAGGGCTCACAGTGAGGCTCTCCTGGGTTCTTTTACATTTGAGAATGTGTCTGCTTTGGAACGACAGCTGTCCTGTGTACAGTGTCTTTGGGGACACCCCACTCGCCCCAGAGCTCCGGAGATCTTGTCCTGTTGTCTCTGGGAATTGATCATTGCTGTGGAGGAAGCCCCGAGTCAGCCCAATTCCCCCACAGTGCTTCTAGGCAATTTGATTTCACTTCTTGACATCTGAAAGAACACTGTGCCTTTAGCCCAGAAGCTCAACAGCGCACCATGTCATGTTCTGCAAAGACTACTCACGAGCAAACCTCCCTGGGAAGCCACGCACTATTTTTGATCTGTAGGATCCCGTCTTTCCTCACTTCAGGAACATCTTTAGCACATCTTCATCATCCTTTGGTGGGGTCTTGAGACTGGCAACGCCTGTCATCCTAAGCAGGGCACTTTGGTATCTAGTAGCTCATCTCTAATTTCTTCAGTCTTTGTTTTTATCATCTGTGTCATTGAGGCTTTCCTGTGTGACGGTAATTTCAATCTCATCTAAGTTCAATGGCATCAATTCCTTCTTGGCCCTTATGAATGCATTTCACAAATGTGATAGTTTGGGGTCCCAGTGTGTGTTTTGGGCTCTGCAGTGTCCAGGCCCCTGTGTTCCGTGTCTTCACACCTAGAGCTGGAATCCACACGTGAATCAGGTGGCGCTGCCCGTGAGCTTTCCTTCTTGGCGGAGTCCTGCCTCCTTTTGTGGAGAGTACAGTGGTCTGGCTGCCAGGTGGTTTCTATTTATTTTTCGGGTGAATGGTCTGGCCCTTCTATTTGCCCGTGCACAGCAAGGGAGCCCCTTGACTTTTCTTATGGCACCCAAGACCAGATTGACTGGTTTTGAACTATGAACGGCAGCCTGGGGACTTCGTTTCCCTATGTATAGATCGTATTGTTAGTCTGTTCATCTATGGTTAGACACTAAAGCTGCTTCCATCTTTTGGATATTGTGGATAATGCTGCCGTGAATATCCATGAGTGGGCTTTTTAACACTTGTTTTCAATTCTTTTGGGTATGGATGAGAAGAGGAATTGCTGGATCATACAGTAATTCTATGATTAACTTAGTGAGAAACCAATATAGTTTTATGTCTTTCTTCTCTTGGAAAATATCTGCAGCCTTCACGTCAACATTAAGATGCCATGACAAGAGACAAAAGGATACAATGTTAGGGGAAATAAGAGAGTAATCTCCTTATAAAACCTCAAAAAGCAAACTGTTTCTACTGCTGGATGAATGTCTATCAGGACGTAGTGCCGAACACTTGGTACATCTCGACCCAATGCCCAGAAGTTACAGGAGTGGAACCAATCTTCCCCCAGCCTCCCACGGGACCTTGTAAGGGGCTGGGAAGGGGTGCTGTGGTGGCCAGGGACACACAACAGTGGTATTAATCCAGCTCCTACCTCTCCAGAAGGACCTGAGGAGGAAAGGATTGTGGGTAATGGAAAATCTGCATTTCAATTCTGAAATACAAATTAAAACCAAAGTTGTCATCAAAAGAAAAGATGAAGATGAGGATCAAAGTGATTCTACACTTCTAGAAAAGATGAGATTAAAGAAAGTGAATTGAACACAGTTTTAAAGAGGTTTTAAAAGGTGTTAATGCAGACTAATGCAGTTAATGAAGGCTAAAAAAAAAAAATCAGTGGCTGCTCCAATTAGCATTTTTTACTAGGAGGAGAGCTTTTTGCACTTCTCTGTATCAAAGCCTTGGTGCTTTGTCTTATGAAAAGACAGCCTCGATTATTTTAAAAGGAAGAGGAGATTAAAAATAGATTTATGATAATTGCTTCATCCATAATAGTAACAATTTATTTCTTTGCTTTCCAAACCAGCCTCATAACATTTGATATATTCTGCCTGACTGTCCCCAGGAAGGCTTTGAATCAACACCATGTGTAGGCTGGGAGGTGAACTCAGTAAACCAGCCACGGAAGCCAAGGGTCTGCCTCTGGGCTTTCTCCTTCCTGTTACTGAGAGCCCACAGGGACCCGGGCAGTGCAGGGCTTGGGACTCTTCTCCAGTTTCCAGTTTCCATAGTTGTGGAGAAATGTAAGTGTAATAAGCAAGAACCGAGCTGTGATAGGGGCTCGGAGTGAAGAATTAAGGGGCTGGGCAAGGTTTACTCCTCTTCAAAGTGACAGGAAGTAAAAGGCGATGGTAAGCAGGACTTGGATGGGATCTTTTGCTGGTTGGTTTATTTGGGTAGGAGAGCGGGAGGGTGCAAGGTCAGCTAGGAGTATCAAGTGTTTAAGGACACAATCAGAGGTCTGTAACACTGAGCCAGAGGGGTAGAGCCCTGGGTCAGGGTGGCAGCAGGAGGTAGAGACTTGCTGCACACCGTGGAGGCAGGAAGGTACACCATGACATGAGGAGAGCCGCCGAGGACAGGTAGGGGGCTGAGATCCTGGAAGACAGCAGAAGGTGGGCCCCAGGGGAGGACCGTGGGACTGCAGAAGGTGTCTGAGGGTCCCAGCCAGCTCTGGCCTCCAAAGAGCTCAGGTTGTGGGAGTTGGACAAGGTACGAGGAGTAGCAGGAGAGTCTTGTTCTTCATCTTCTTCGTCATCATCATCGTCTTTATCAACCCAACCACTGGCACTGCTTCCTGCACGTTTCCTGTGTGCCACGTGGCATCCTAAGCACTTTACAGGTATCTCAGTTATTGAATCATTTGTAGGAAAATGGATGGATCTAGAGATGAATGGTAAGTGAGATAAGTCAGTCACAGAAGGTTAAAATCCACGCACTTTCGTTTACATGAGACACCCAAAGTATACACAAGTTAAAGAAAAGACAGATAATAGGAAATAGGGAGATGACTCTTTGGTAAATGTGATGGAGGGAGAGGGAAAGAAGGGAAGGGAAAGAGAATAATAAGAATTAAGAGGTGTTATGCACAGTATAAGCTCCCCACAATCAATGTAATGTTTCCATACTGCAGACATGCACAAATAAATACATGCCAAAATACTTCCTTCCATCCTGCAGTGCCCTTGCAAGGCTGCCATTAATATTATTCCCATTTTGCAGAGGAGAAGCTAGGGCTCAAAGAAGTAGAGTACCCAGCCCTGCATCGCATGACAAAGAGCAGAATTCTTATTGCTCTGCATCCCAGAGCCAAGATAGGACAGGTCCCCAGTGACCACGGTGGACTCCTTTGAGACCCCACCCCCTGCTCCCAGCCAGGGAGAAGCAGGGAACACAGATGCACAGGCCTGGCCGGGGCAGGGTGCCGCAGGGTAGACTTCCTCAAGGAGTTGATCTTGGGAGAATGTTCATGGTGGGACCACATGATGACCGCGGAGCTGAAGAGCTGCAGTGTGATTCTCAGGGTACTCAGTGCGGGGAGGGCTTTCAGGGCTGGCTTCTCCACAGGGGAGCATTCAAAGGGTTATATACAGCCCTACCACCAAGTGCCTCCCACTTCCTCTGATCAGTGTGGTAGAGGAGAATAGCTCATAGCATAGTGGGTAGGAAGCAGACAGTCAAAGGGGCTGGGAAGGGAGATAAACCCTTCCGGTCACGCCCGCACTGCTTCTAAACAGGTCCCATCTCCTAGAGCAAGTCAGCTGCAAACCCCCATAACCAACTGCCTTTCAAAGCCCTGTCTAAGATTGCCTTAGGCTTTAGGGGGACACCTAGATATAAACCACAGTGCAGGCCTAATGGACCCTTGTTTTGTGAGCTCTCCTCAGGAAACTGAGCTACTCCCTTACTTAGGGATTCAGAGGCTCAAAATTTGGTGACCAATTTTGCATAGAAAAGAGAAGACATTTCAGAAGTGATTGGCTCTTGGCTGCAGGTAAGATGGAGAGAGTGCAGATTCTCAGACCTACTGACTGGCAGCCTACTAGGGCATACAACCCTGCCGCAGCGTGCCTCCTGCTTGCGCAGTAGGAACTTGTGCAGCTGGAAGAGGTGGGTCGTTACAGGAATGACCCGGAAGCGTTTATTTCCCTGCCCCGATCCTACCTTGACCCTCTACTTCCTATCTGCCATGCTGTGAGCAGCTATCCTCCACCATGCCCCGTTGCCAGGCCTTCTTGCCTTGGAGCCAGCTGATTGTGTACTGAAACACAAAGTGAAATAATGGCCTCCTTCCCCATATGTGTTTAAATAAGTGCCCAGCTGACCGTGTCTACAGGATGGTGTCTGAGAAGCACACCAGAGCTCCGGCTGGACCCAGGGTGAGTGCTGTGGTCATAGCCTAGGAGCTGAGGAGCCACCTAGTTAGGACCTAGGAGCTCACACATCTTCCCTTCTCTTCCTGATCCTTGGAGTTGGTGATCACGATGGCTGTGGAGAAGATGGAGCTAGAGATGGCAGTAATATCTAGTGACCCCGGAAGTCACAAAGCCTGGAACCAGTGACAGTTCAAGGCCCTACAGTGTTGGTGTCGGGGCAGAGACCACCGAACAGGCTTGCGTGAGAGCTGTCAGCCTCCGGTCTGGTTCTCTCCTCACTGGCTCAACTGTGATTGGAAAGTGATGGAGAGTTTGCTTCCCGCTGGAAAAGGAACCATGGCTGTGGTGATATTGCCGAGCCTGGGGCTTGGCATAGACCCTGGGGCACCTCTCCCTGATGCCAGGGCCCTCGAGTGTGTGCTGCTTGCCTGTCCTTAGGACAACGAGGGCACATGGGGTGGGGGGATTGATGCTTCTGTTCAACTATGCAGCACAGAAAGAGACAATACATCTCCTGCCCCTTCCTATCCTTGGGAGGAAACTGTGTGGGAGTCTCAGCTCATTCCACTTCAGTGGGCCTCACATTCAACAATGTCACATTTGCACATGGCTCTGAATGAGCTGTGAGCTGTTCAAGGGCAAGACTGGTCCCTTTTGTCCTTCTCTCCCCAGCACCTGGCATCAAAGTGTCACAGGAAAGCATTTCTTGAATGAACACAAGGGTTACTTAGTTAATTGATTGATTCATCATTTCACCCTGGGGAGGTAGTAAGATTAAGTGTCATTGTTGCCATTGGACTATTAAGGCAACTAAAGACCAGAGAGGGTAAGTGCCCAAAGTCACATAGCCCCTGAAGCTTCAAACTTCTGCTGCAGAGTTCTCTTGCTAAATCCACAGCCCGGTGCTTAGAATAGAATATAAATTCTCCCCTTCCTACTCCTGTGGGTGCTCTGGACGCACAGCCAAAGCTAACAAGTCTCCATCAGTTTCACATCTGTACTTCACGACTGAGTTAAGCACCTGCCTCTTAGGGTGTCCGACCCACATGTGCAGAGACGTTAGGTCTTATTCCCTCTATTTTATGACCATGAAATGATGTCCCATTTATGCCATGGACATCGATGGCTGAGAGACAGGTGACTGAATGAAACAAACCTGCCCAGTGTCCAACCGGAAGGGCCATCCTGTGTTCCAGTGATGCCATCATGGAGGAATTTATCCCACTCTTCTGCCCACATCCACTCCTGGCTCCTAATGAAAACCTCAGTGATGTCTTCAGGGCACAGCTCCAGCCCCAGCTTGTGTGGCCACCCTATTTGAAGACAGTCACTGTCCCCACCACACACTTCCTGCAGAATGCACGTCTTTCCAAAGGCATCACCAGTCACGCTCAGGCTGAAGGGGGGAAGACATGCTTCTGTTCTTTTTTTTTTTTTTTTTTCATTTTTATTGGTACCGAGGATCGAACTCATGACCACCTGCTTGCAAGGCAGGTACTTATGCTGCCGAGCTAAATCTCCAAGCCCCCATGCTTCTGTTCTTTACCTTTCTCTCTTGTTGGTTGTGGAACCCTTACTTTATGTCAAAGCCACTGCTTCTCTGGGTTTCGGGCTCCCTGGGGCTGGGGTCACTGCCTTCCCCTTAAGGAGGCCCATATAGTATCCAGGTCCCCCAGGGGACCTGCACAGAAGTGGGAGCAGGCCAAGGCATCCACAGGGGAGGGGGAAGCGTCCCTGGTGAGAGGGCCACCTTTCTCTGTGTCCCCACACTTGCAGGTCCCCCCCTCAACAGCCCTCCAGCCAGGACTGTGTCCAGCTGGGGAGAGGAGGTATAATTGGCCACTTCAGCACACATCGAGCTCAAGACTGGGCAGAGGCTGCCGCACAGCCCCCATGGGAGCTGGTGGTTTTATGAGCTGTCATATTTACTATTATCCAATGAGTCATCAGCGGTGTGTTTTCATTTTGAGGCTGCTGGACGAATAGGCTGTCATTGGAGCTGCTCTTAATCCATTATTTACACCTGCTCTTTGTCCTCCCCATACTACCTTTGCAGGCAGAGCCTCAGAGTGAGCCTTCTGCAGCTGCTGGGCTAACGCACATCTTCCATTTCATGCGAGACCTACGGTGCTTAGAAATAGCGAATGAAGCAAAGGCTCCCATTATGAAATTTCTAGCTGATCCTTCCCTTGCCTTTCATTAGGGAGAAAGCAAGCATTAAGCAAACCCACAAGCCCAACAGTGGAAGAGAACACAGAGTTTACAGTACAGGCAGGCTCAGGCCCGTTTTCCCGGAAGTTTCTGGTGGGATTGCAACCACCGGGATGACAGCAGGAATACAGCCAATGGACCTGACGGTTGGGCCGGAGGTATAACACACCCACTGGTAAACTATCCTCAGGTTCACAGCGCTCCTGAGTGGGCAGGGTCGGCGCAGGCACTGCACTGTGCCATCCTTCTTGAGATCTGAAGGCACTCACTGCCTCTGAACCCAAGCGGCACACCGGTCACTAGTGACCAGGCTCCAGCAGGAAATGTTCACTTTCTTCAGTGATGGAGGATGATTCCCTTGGTGACTAAGTGTCCTGCTAACTGCTTTTCAGTGCTCAGAAAGCTGTGTCACCCAGACTGAGCAGAGGGCTGGCAGCTGGCAGGCGGGCAGGCACTCTGGAAATCCAGTGGTGTCACCTCTGCAGGCCTGGCTGGGTGACTGGTAGTGATGGCAGGGAGAGGTGAACCTCCAGCTGGCCAAGTAGCAGACAGCAAGACCGAAGCGTGTGCTAGGCACTCTGGCTTCTCCCTGGAATTTGACTGCAGGGCAGAGCGGCAAACAACACTCCACAGGGCTGGTGCTCATGGTGCTCAGTGGCCCCTTGGGAGCCTGTCCCTGCACCAGGTGCCCATGGCCCACCCAGAGCCAGCCATGTCCTAGTTCCTGTCCCTCTGAGCTGTTCCTTTCTCAGTTCAGCTCCCGATACTTCCTCCTCCACTAGCCTCGGGCTGGCCGCTCACACCCCACCTGCTAAGTAGGCAAGTGGAGAGTGGAGTAAACCAGGCTCAGTTCACAGCCAGGATGCAGGGGCAGTGAAAGGCACTTTTGAAAGGTGCATGTTGTTATCCTTTGATGATTCCAGTGTCTCCATCAGCAGGGCACTGGGTTAGAATTCTGTATTTATCTGCAAAGCAAATGCATTTTGAGCACCTAGTCTGGCAAATGCCTGCCCTGGGTACGGGGGAGACTGGAGGCTGCGATGACTGAGGAAGGGCAGTATCCACACAGCAGCAGCTACGGTGCACACAGCAAGTGACCTGGGCCAGCAGGGACACCTTTGGTGCCCAACTGTGGAAGTCCACACTGGGATGTCTGGAGCTGAACAAACCCAGTGAGGAACCAGTGGTGACGTGGAGCTGGAGAGGGACTCACTGTCCACGTTAATCCCCACGCTGCTTCATCTACAAAACTGCAGGGAAACCGCACTGAATGTGTGGGTCTTTCTAGTGACTGTG